TGCAAAAATCCAGAAGACCGCCGTTTCACGTCGGAGCATTCGTCACTGTAACAACACCCTGTGATTGTGTAGTCCAGCTTCGTGTCGCACGGACCACTTCATCCAGGTCCGCACTATACGATCTTCTACACGCCCGAGTTTCTGCAAGAGTATGTGAATGTCATGCTGTGCGCGAAGACTCGGGGCTTCGTGGCAGCAAGCGGGCCCCACACATGACAGAGATGAGGACGGCGCTGCGGCTCCCGATGCTACAGTGCTGACAACATGATTTGTCCCAGGCTGGATGGGCATTGGCTGGTTGAACCCCTCCCGCGACGAAGCCAGTCTTATGGTCCGAACCGACATGGTTGTGCCACGGTTTTTCATTGAGGATGGCCTGCAATCTGCCAATGAATCCCATTAGACTGCTCATGACTGCTGGAGACTGTCCTCAGGTTGCCTTCGTGGAGGATGGACAAGCAGTGGTGCAGGACCGGTTCGCATTTTCCATTGAGGAGCCGACTAAGGACGAGATGCTTGCAGACCAGCGTCCTGACGATGCGGGCAACCCGCTCAACGGGAGAAACGACTTGAAACTGATCCCAGGCAGCTTGGGCTTGCCCGGACTTGAATGGTGCTCGGACGCCACGTGCAGCCTTGGTTTCAGCCTGGTACAATTCCAGAGAGCATTTGCAACAGAAGATGCATACGACATCAGGCTCCCTGCTCCTTGGATGTTCAAGCCAGACTGTTCAGCTTCTGACAACGCATGGGTGCAACCGTCATAGTCATAGTAATGCTGAGTAAATACGGTAGCAGTGTAGAGGGTTGAATTTGGCTCGCGGAGCCTGTTAAGTTATGGTGCTCATAGCCTTGTCTGGGATATGCAGGCCAAAAGTGCCAAGCTTGGCCTGATCTATGCCTGGGGCAGCCGCGACCCGTTCGCCACTTACATGGAGCAGCACGGTGGAGGTGACAGAGGCTATGTTGAATTGCAATGGAACTTGGATTGTGCGCCTGGAACCTTTTTTGACATTGCAAGCGCGGAATCTTGACACTATAGAAACAGCATCTTCGCTTCTTTCCAGACACTTGCTCTGGCTCTCCGATTCAAAACTGCGAAAACCTGCCAGTTGAGGATTGCAAGCCATGTGACAAAGGCGCACGAGGGCATCAGGGGAGACTGACGCCATGACTGTGTGTCAAGTCAATCCCAACTTATTGCCCTTGTTTGCCTTTCCTTACACTTCACTACCCCATAGTATTTGCATGGTTTCTCGTCCAAGAACTGAGAGAATATTTGATTTGCGTTTGCGTTTGCCGCGTATTTGTGGTGGTCATTTGCAGGCTTCTTTCGACCTGCTTCAGCTCCTGTACACACATGCCTTCGGGCACCTCCCGGAACATTCCAGAGGCTTGCCTGCAAAATATGGCCCATGGATGTTTCGGCCGCTCGACGAAAACCAACGAAAGCGCTCGGCACAGCATATGTTGCGCACTCTCGTCCAGAAATGTCAAAGCATGAGT